AACATGTTTAACTCTTTTTCCATAGACTCCTGTTTAAAAAGTAGGTTTGTGCTGGGTGGGTTGAAGGCATTAATGCTGTGTGTAGTTCATGTGGCTGCTAAAGTGTTATTTGGCGTTATTGTTGAGAAATGGGAATTAAGGAGCAGGAGGCAGCAGGTCTCTGGGGGGAGGGAGGGAGAGAGGATTGTTAAAAGGGTCTGGTAAAAGTATGGAAGGTATGACACTGTAAGTGCAGTCACTTTGATATTTGTATGTTCCCCTCTGAAATAGTCAAATTTGGATACACCATGAGATACAAAAGAAAATTGTGACCATGAGCAAAAGCAGGATGTTTTATTCTTCGCTTTATAATTGTCTGTTTTGGTGTGGTGTGGTGTGTTTTTTTTTTTTTAAATTATGGTCCCTTAAGGGGAAGTGCAGGTCTTTGCCTTGCCTAAATGTCACATAAGGCATACATTGACTTTGTATTAGTGAGTGAAAGAGTATAGTGAGATTTAATGTAATGGGATGTGAAAATGGACAATTTTCAAGACCTTTTTAACCCAAGAGGCCTTTGATAAGAGTAATAAAAAGTGATGCATATAGGGAGGGGAAGGAGAGAAGGAAAGAGTACATGTAAAAGAAAGAATGCTGAAATTGTGGGGTTTCTTCTTCCTTCCTCCCACTACCTTTTCCCTAAGACATACTTAATATTGTTTCATATGTGTGGAGGGTTCTTGTGGGTCGGGAGCACTGGGTGTCCCTGCACACGTTCTCTGTATTTACACGAGAGAGATTACCCCTTCAGAGACCATTGAGATGGCTTTCAATACATTGTCCATCCTTGTGGTGCTTTGCCATTTCTGTCTCTGTTCACTCCTGTAGCACAAACACGCTGCCTTCCTTGTGAAGGTGCACAACCATGTCTCTTTTACCTGCTTTCAGTGTTGCAGATATTCGTGTCCCCTGAGACACAAGGCTCCATGTCTCGGCATCCCTAGAATGAATACATTAATGTGTGGTCATCAGCAGTAGCTTGAAGTAACTGAAACCAGTTACCTGCATAATACCCACAGAATGTGTGCGATTCCTCTATGAAAAGTAAATTATTGCCAAATGATTGCTTGTGGACCAGCCTTCTGCAGAAACCAGGGAGGTCTGTTTTCTTCTTAACCAATAAAAGGTGTTTTGGGTGTCTTTTAAAAAAGAGAAACAAGTTGGGAATACCTGTTCACATGCTGTGAACTATAGCTAGCTTTCAAAAACCTTCATATGATACAGAACACAAACATATGCCCCAACCTTTTTTTTTTCAGTTGACATCTATTTGCAGTGCCTATTTAGAATGGAAGAAATGAACTAAGAAACTTGCTTATACTGGAAAAGAGTCACAAGGCTTAGGAGAGTCACATTGAGATATGCTGGCAATATTTCACTAAGGATTTATTAAGACTAGGTGAGCTATATATTAAATGAACCTATTGTAATAAAATACCTTCATGGAATTTGAACAGACCATTTCTTGTCTGACACACCTGGTTGTGACTGCAAGTGGTTGTAAAGCAACAAAACTCTGTGCATTTATGCTGCCTGGGATGTGATAGCTATCGGAGCTTTGTGTATTCTGTACTTTGCTGAAGAAAATAGGGTTATAAGGAACATGGAAAGGACCCTGGAAGAGCTGACATTGTCTGAGATGGGAGAGTACTTCCAGGAAGACGCTCCCATGTTTTTCTCTTTGCTTTCCCCACCTATTGTGTAGAGTTTTGTCCCTGTGCAAAAGCATGATTTCTGAAGTCGGAACCCATCCTTGTGGAAGCTGTTGCTGCTCCAGTAAATTCAGTCAGACACAGCTTTGTCCCTCACTCTTTGCTATATATTTGAATTTGGTTTGGGATTTCTCTTGAGGAAGCTGGGACCTGATTCTCCACGGGTTTACGCACATGCACTAGAGGTGACTGTTGATCGCTAATGCCGCCCTGCAACGAGGAGCTGTACGGAGCTGCCAAGTGGAGGAGGCGTGCCTGAGGAGCGATCTCCCCGAGCAGGAGCTGCGCAGGTTAGCGTAGTTTGTGGGGCATTGGGTCTGTCTGCTTGCTGCTAGCTTAGTTCTTGTTCTGACCCTGGGAACACCAAACCACCCGTCACTTCTAGTGATTTTTTTTCTGTGCAGAGAGAAGGGCAGAGAGGGAAAGGGGTTGCAAGCTTCGTGTAATTTTAGGTAATTTTAAGAAATATTAAAAACTGGTAATAACTGAAACAGAGGACTCGTAAAGGTGCGCATGGTCTTTTATCTTACACTGGTTTTTTTTGATGCCTCTTTTGGCTTTGTAAATTAATTTTTTTCCTCTATTACTAATTGTGATACAGCAATAAGGTAAAAAACCCCAAAACCCAAAATTTTTCATGTGCATCAGTAAACACCAGACTTAAGACTTGTGCATTGGGTGACAGGTTAAAATTACTTGCAGTGCAGCCAAGCAACCGATGGTGCAAATAGTTTCAAATGAAATGGTTCATATAGCTGTCCTTGTATTTTTGAAGTGACCTTTCAGTTTTGTACAATAGGTGTCTCACTATTGCCATAAATTGAGGTGCACAGCAGGACTGTACCCGTTTTATATTTGGCTTGCCATTTCCTTTGGGTCTTCATGAATGTGGTAGAAGAATTGGTAATTTTAAGGTGGCATTTCTTCTTGCATCTCTTGCTTCCTCCTCCTCCCTTTCAGGGTACTGAAGTTATTTTTGTACTGCAAATGTTGGTTGGCAAATTTTAAGTTGCATCAAAATTTTTAGCCCCTTGAAGCCATGTGGGAAGGGGAAAAAACGCCAACCAAACCACCAACCCCAAACTTGTGTTACGTCATTTATTGTTGGGTAAAAGTAGATTGCTTTTTTTTTTGGTCCAATTTTCAGGTGTTGAGCAGTAAAGGACAAGATACATGGGTTTTCCTTCTGAAATGACATGGGAGGTGGCAGCTGTGTGTGTGAAACTTGTCCTTTCCAGATGCGCTTAGACTTTCCCTTCTCCTCCTCACCCGTGGATATACCCCGCTCAGCATGAGCGTTTGCCGCTTAACGCGGCGTGGAGCTGGGGTGAGACCTGTTGTTGGCTGTGCTGTTGCGTGTTGGGATCCTTCTGTGAGTGGCACTCCTTGCTACTAAACGCTCATGAATTTTAATCTGAATCTACAAGTGTGAGAGACTAATGGCATGACACAGTTTGAAGCACACTGAATAGCGTATTAGCTGCCAATTTTGTGGTTTGGGAGTTTTCTGCATTAAAATTTCTCAGTATTTTTTAATACTGAATGAACGTCCCCTTTTATGTTCTACTTTAGGACTCGACTTTCAATTTTCAGGTTGCTCTGTGAGATTATTGGGATATTTCAGAGCAGTCTATCACTCCTTTAGGGTGATTGTTTTGTAGGAGCATCGCTAGCTGAGATTACAGTTTAAGGAAATCTTTGCAGGCTTCAAGGAAATTTCTCCCCTTCTTTAATAAAGTGAAGCAGCTCCTTGCTCTTTGCATTATTGGAAATGAAATCTTAAACAGAGTTGTGTGCAGCTTGGGTTTTCATTCTCCCTTCCTCACCTGTTTTATATGACCAAATGCCGAATTCAGCTCTTACTTGCTTGAGAGGGAGGGAAAACCACTGAGAAACGCTGCACAACTGTTGATATTCTCTGGAGAAAGTGTGCTTGTTGCTTGATCTCGTGGTCGCCGTAGTGTTGGGGGTGACACGCTCACGTGAGAAGTTTGTGCAAGGTGGCTTTTTGCCGTAAGCTCCGGCTGCGCCCCGAACGAAGCCTTGTTGAGAAGAGTGTTTCAAGATGTAAAGCATTCACTGCAGGCCTGTGTGGGTGGGTGGTGTTAAGGGGTGTATTTTAAAAAGATCTGAGGGGAAAAATGAAAGCTTTGGATTTTATTGCTAGATGGGAACATCTCAACTTGTTTTGTTGTAAGATTTTACTGGCCTGTATTAAACAAACTTCTGTTATAAAAAGTCCTTAAAATGTGAAGTGCTTTTCTGTGAGAGGTCAGTATTGAGCAATTAAAATGCTAAGTAAAACGGTGTGTTTGAACACAAGACACTTATTTTAGCTGCTTTGGTGAACCAAAATGACATAGAGACCTTCTAAACTAGACTGCTCTGTGTTGTCCCCCTCTCCCTTCCCCACTTCTTCCCAGGCTAGCCAGACTGACCCAACCAGTGGCCCTACCTGAGCCCAGCTCAAACTGTGCTAATCTACACATTCTTGTGAATCCCAAGGGTTTTGTGGCATCTCTGGCATTTATTTGTTCTCTCACTTTGGGGGAAGGGAGGAGACAAAGGACTTGGCTGTGAAGGCAGCCAGCACACTGCCAGGCTTTGCAGTAGCACTTCAAAGTGGACGTTTTGTTTACTAGATAAGCGAAAACTGATGTAAATTTGGGGGGCAAATACAATGAATTTACTGATTCTTACCCCGTTCTACAGATCAGAGATGGAGAATGTCAGTCTCATAAAAGGTAGAATATAGTATGTTCTTAAGGCTAATGAAAAGCCTTAGTATCAAAGAAAACTTATGTGTTCAAATTTATATTCTCTTCCTTGAAGGGATGTAGAACCCTGAAGTATCTTCTTGGTGAAATTAAAAAAATTAAAGAAAAAATCTTAGTGTGAGGAGGGGAGCCCGGTACAAATACATGGGAGTATCACATCCATGTATAACAGAGTTAAATATTGAAGGCATTAAATCTCAAATAGAAACAGTCTTCAAGAAAAGTGGAAACTTCATGAAATTCAACAGCTGTCAAATGCGTAACAAGTATTTCTGTAAAAACTCTTTGGACTTGAAATGGTTTTGACCTGACATTCCCTCTCAATGATCTGTTGGGTTTTTTTGAGTTGTGTATTTGATTTTGCCCCTCTTAGTCTAACAGATGCTTAAATGCGGACACTGCTATGTGTAGTCTATCTTGGAATAATGTTTTCATTCTGTTTTTTTAAAAACTATTTTCTTTAATTTATCTGCAGGAGTCGGAAGCTTCAGATCAGAAATATCCCGCCTCACTTGCAGTGGGAGGTAGGAAGTTACTTTAAAAATTGATATCTCTGCTTAAAACTGTGTTTCTCTATCCACAAGACTTTTCCCCTTCCCCCACCTTTCACTTGCTTTGCACACACCACCCGTTCTGTTCTGGGGAAAAAAAATCCTTTGGAAGAGGGAACAATAGAGCCTTCTAAGCAATTCAGATAACTGCCTTCATTTCTGGTCTCCGAGTTAACCATAAAAAAATGTTGAAATGGATTCTTTGGTGAATGCTGACTTCCTGATGCAGTCACTGAAGGCCTGTCCGTTTTGGAGGACTTTGCTGGTGTGTGAGTTCAGTAAACTTAATACAAGTTCACATTTAAATGCTTGGCCAAAACCTTTACAAAAGCAGAAATGTAATGCTGATCCTTTTTCTTTGATTTCCCATCCCCCCTCACCCCCCCTCGCTCCTCTATAGTGGTGGCATTATGGCAAATTGTTTTCTCATGCTGTTACGCTTATTGACTCTCACCATATATTGTATACTTGCTGTTTACACTCCACAAATAGTGGTAAAACTTTTTGCAGTAGATGGGCTACTGTGAGAATGTGTCTGTTTTTATTTATTGTTTTTCTACCTTGTATGTGTTTAAAATGTTGTTTTCACGTCTTACTGGTGGTAAGTCATCCTTCTGCCTGAGGGTGGAGGGTTTGAGGATGAAGCTCCAGTACCAGTTCCCTGAGTAGGTTGGGTCTGCCGCCTTCATCTGACTTACCATCTGCAACTACTTCTTCGTTTGTGCTGCCCTATTGCTTCCTAGCTTTGGAGAAGAACGGGGGCATTGCTTAGTCCAACCTAGGCTGTCAACCGCTGCTTTTCTGTAAGATACCAGCACACACCACCTCATTGCTTCAGTCTGTCCTTCTGCTGTATGCTGTCCATAAAAGCATTTCCTCTGCCCTTCCTGAACCTTGTGGTCCCTCCATCAGTTGTACTGTATCAACATGACACATCTTATTTCAAATTCATAACTGCTTTTTCTTGTCAAGCCTTTGGGAAAAGTAGTAATAGAAATGGTTGAGGGTGACTGATTCAAGGATTAACTTATTTTCTGGTACAAACTTCCTCTGAGGATTTTGTGTAGGAATAGTGAGTATCAGAGAAGAGGCATACAATTCACAGAAATGTGAATAAACATGGATGTATGCACTATTGAGCGGAGTACGTCAAAATGTTTCTACCTGCTTGTCCCTTCTCACACATACATCTATTAGTGCTTGTGATAGTTATCTGTTTGCCATCTGCTTCCTGATTTTTTTTTTTCCTAAATGGTTTCCCTTTCTTTCTCCATTGCTGCAGTTTCTGTGGTGACATCTGGTCTCAGGCAGATGTTCCCTCTGCTCTGACTTTTTAAAACACTCCATCTTCCTGAAGTTTCAAAGGAAGAGTTAAATTGTCCCTATTAACATAAATCTCAACCTTGCCTAAATGTCCTGAAATTGCTTGTACAGACCTGAACCTTGGGCACAGAATTTAGAGGGATGAGGCCCCAAAATAACTTCCACAATACTTTTGCATTCTGTTAAAACCTGAGAGCTGCTTGCCAAGAATAGTTTGTCCACAAATTTCTTAAATAAGTGCTGGTGGTTATCACTTCTGGTCTAAGCAGGTAAATGTTGTATGGTCTCAAGAGTGCTGATGTCAAAATACAGCAACTGGTGATGGAATTCATCAGGGAATTTTCTTATTTCAAACTTAACTTGGGCTCTGATTTTTTTTTTTTTTTTTTTGGTGCTAGAAGACCTTGCAGAAACTTTCTTGCAGCTCTGTAAGAAAGTTTTGGATGATTCTTCCTTAAAACAAGTCTTTATTGCAACCAGTTGCTTGGCAGGAAGAGTAAAAGTTTATACATACAGAGAGGGATTTATATCTAAGTAACGTTCTTGCATAATGTTTTCTGAGGGGATGGGGTGTGTGTGTGCATGTGTGGCAGCTGGAGCAATTTTCCTTAAATTGTTTCTTATAGTCCCTCTGTGCCAATCTGCTTGTCTCATCATTCCTTTAATTGCTTGAATCAAGACTGACTACTTCTAATGGGTGTGAAATCCTTCAAACCAAACCAAAACCAACTGATGAAAGGACTGCACGTTAGCTCTGTCAGCCCTTGTGTATATTTGATACTGAAATATAAAACACAGTACCCTGCAACACCTTTCATTTTACAGTGACAGGAATATGTGAAAAGAATGGAAGAAAGATTTTTCTTGTGATTTCCCCCCCTCCCTCCCCTCCCCAGTATAACCATTATTAGGAAGGTTACACTGTCATTCTTTGCAAAAGTATTTTCACAGAATCACAGACTGGTTTAGGTTGGAAGGGACCTTAAAGACCAACTAGTTCCACCCCCCCTGCCATGGGCAGGGAGGGACACCTTCCACTAGACCAGGTTGCTCAAAGCCTCATCCAGCCTGGCCATGGACACTTCCAGGGATGGGGCATCCACAGCTTCTCTGGGCAACCTGTGCCAGTGCCTCACCACCATCTCTGTGAAGAATTTCTTCCTGATACCCAATATAAATCTGTCTTCTTTCAGTTTAAAGCCATCACCTCTTGTTCTATCACTATATGCCCTTTTTCTTAAGACAAGTATTTCAACAGTGCTTGTTTTAATATTGTTCTTTATAAAACAAGCGTTTCACGTGGGAAGCCTACAGGCATGCCCCTAGCAGTCAGTGTGCATGCTTATAGTTCAGTGCTTCATGGCTGTTCTAGTTGTCAGCGTGTCACACGTCTAAGTCCTGGGCCACGTGGGACTGGGATTCAGCGAGGGTCTTTGTTCATACCCACACTCAACAGAGATGGCCCTTGGCTTGTAACAAATCTCTCACAAAACCTCTTATGATGAGGAGAGGATCCAAAGGGTTCTCAAAATGCAGTTCATTGGATTTGAGAAAGGAGATAGGGAAAGCTGTAGGAATAACATTGCTGAACTGTTTGTAGTGTGAAGTGTAAGAGTTTGGTAGTAGCTCCCGCTCTTGAGCACCCCAGAGAACAGCATTGCCTCCTGATTTTCAAAACCAGGAAAATGTTCAGGGAATAATGTGAATTGAGAATGCTTTGTGTGAGGAAGGTGCACCATTGATGTAGGTGCTTTGTTCTCCATGCAGATGGGAGCTGGTTCTTAAGATTGATAAAATATTGCAGTAAATGGGTTTCCTCTGAAGATGGTGAAACAGTTTCAATGGTGTATTCTCTGTACCTTTTAAGAGGCTTGTGTACCTATTTAGTAAAATCTAGTGCCTTTATTAGCACTGAAGAGAGAAAACATTGAACTTTAGTGTTAAGGAAGCCTTGACTTCCCCTTGGAAGAAACTGGGTATCCTGAAGACTCGTGAGGTAGGACACCTGACCCATAGTTTTTACGTATAGATTGGGAAATAAACATTGGGTGTAAATGGCCAAAGAGTAACAAGCATTTAAGACTTTTCATAAACCCAAGTACACAGAGTCAGATTAACAGTCTGCTTTTCTGTCTGACTTTGTAGAAAAATATTCCAACTAGTTTTCTCCCTTATGTAGTTGCTGAACAAAATATTGACTCTTTCCACCAGCCGGAGCAATTGGACTTGTAGTTTCTTCTGAGTAATGGGAGTTCACTGTGTAATTAATAGATTGGCACAGTATAAATAAAAAAGGTAAGATAATCCATTTAGACCATACTCAGGGTTAAGTGGTAGAAGAAAGGCAGGTGAGAGGGCTGGAGCCCCTCTCTTATGGGGACAGGCTGGGAGAGGTGGGCTTGTTCAGCCTGGAGAAGAGAAGGCTCTGGGGAGATCTTATAGCACCTTCTAGTACCTGAAGGGGCTACAAGGAAGCTGGGGGGGGACTTTTTACAAGGGCCTGTAGTGACAGGACAAGGGGGAACGGGTTTAAATTGAAAGTGGGGAGATTTCGATTTAGATTGGATATCAGGAAGAAGTTCTTCCCAGAGAGGGTGGGGAGGCACTGGCACAGGTTGCCCAGAGAAGCTGTGGATGCCCCATCCCTGGAAGTGTTCAAGGCCAGGTTGGATGAGGCTTTGAGCAACCTGGTCTAGTGGAAGGTGTCCCTGCCCATGGCAGTGGGGGTTGGAACTAGACGGTCTGTAAGGATCCTTCCAACACAAACCAGTCTGATTCTATAATCTGCTGAGTTACTACATTGAAAAAAACCCATAAGCTTGCGATCCTGAAGAGCTCACTTTAAGTGCAGCTGTGAAAGATAAAATTCTAATGTATTCTAAGGCATTCAAGGTTAAGTTTGTACAAAACTTGCCTGATAATTAATTTGGACTTCACAAGAAGATTTTTGGCAAGGTTCTGCAGGCTTCTGTACCTGTGGGTTGGGTGCTCCTGTACTCCTTACCCAGCTGGGAGAAACTGGAGGTGGAGGGAAGGCAGCATCTCTGTCTGAACTAAGAAAACTTAGGACATGCCTCAGGCTGAAATGGGAGTCTGGACTGGTAGAGGCTTATCCAGGATCCTGTTTTCTGCTCATCAGGAGGTTATTTGCATTTTCCCCCCTTCTACCACTAGAGTGTCTGGGTTTGAGGACTCTGGATCAGTGCCCATGTCCCATAAAGGCATCATCACTTCTGGAATGAATCTTTTTCCTTTTATTCCACTTGCATGTGGAGTGCATGTAGAGGTTATTGTCTCAATTTAGTAATTTGAAGGATGTGTGCATGATCAGATTTTATTTTTCAAATAAATACGGTTCACTTGTTATGAAGTTTGGGTGAAGCAAACCCTCGAACAATTAGTGCATCTTTTTTAGTGATGGTAGATGGGTATGATTCCCTCCCCTCTCCTTACTCATCAAATACAAATTCCAGATTGATGCTAAGAAGTGGAAGATTTGCCACACCACTTTTTCCCATTCTTCACACATACCAGTCTCATCTCTTTCTCGTTGGAAGCAAGCACTGTGGCTCTATGGTCTCTGCAGAAAAGTAAATAGATCTCTTTACTCTTTCCTGAACCGCAGGCTGTAACATACTGTTTCGACTCTT